GTATGTATGTATGTATGTATGTATGTATGTATGTATGTATGTATGTATGTATGTATGTATGTATGTATGTATGTATGTATGTATTTATGATGACGAAGAATTTCTATTTTCGAGGACATTCTCCAATCTATTAACTATACCACCGACACTCCACAGGACCCCAATTTCATATGCACCCAGAGCCACCGCGAGAGAAACTGCTCAACAAGGTAAGCAAACAGATGGCTCAGCGAAAAGCCAACCGCACACCCAAGCCAACTCATCTAGCTGCACACACGCCGAGCTCACTCAGAAATTCGGCCACGCCGTACGGCAACTTGTCACCGGCAGCAAGGCTTCTAATGGATCGTACGCTCGACAAGAAAACTATTGGGGCGCCGAGCAAGCTGGGGAGAGGGACACCCAAGGCCAGTAGAGGTATAGTCTATAAGTGAAAGGTGTTTTATTATTTGTGGGACTGTAGCCTCTATAAGCACAAGAGGCGGGCCTGGCGTGTGTGTGCCTGATTGCCTATTGAAACGGGAATACATGGGGTTGTCTACGGGTAAAACTGCTCTCACGCCGCGTGAATTATATCAATTCCACAGCTGCTGCAATAGAAGACATAGATATACTGCCTCATGCTGCTTCTTTGCTGATTATATTTGATTCATTACATGTCCTTGCTCACATGGGTATCACATGCAACCACCTGCTGGCTATTTGCAGATCAGCTCTGTTTTCAACCACCAATCTCTACCGTCTCGTATACCAGGTACTGGCATCGGAACGGGAAAATTCGGGTCATTCGGGGATGGAGCTTTACGGCAAGCCTACGCATCCCCCGCACACACAGTTGTGGCCGGCAGCAGGAAACGAACGCATAGCACCAGCCAGAGAAGCGGTGCCACGCCATCCATCACAGACGGATTGCTAGATAGCACACCACAGGCCAAGTACACGCGGTGATGTATGTGCAGGGCGTTCACATGTTTAGCATCAATGATTAGACCGCCGAGGCTCCCTTCCCTGTTTCACTGACTAGGGCAGCTGATACCGATTTAATTTAACAGCACCTGTTGTGAAAGTGCCTCAGCTTGCACCGTCAGTTCCATAATGTGGTACGCTCACACCAACACACTTAGCTCACTATGTAGTGGGCACCCTTGCACATGCAGGTTGGTCCTGGTATAGCTCGCCGCAGCATCCAGCACAGCCCACTAAATGGTGCATGGCAAGGCTGACAAGTGATTCCGGAACGACTATCTTTATAGGCTATACTTCCAGGGAAAGTAGTCGATCTAGCCACCAGGTTGTGCCGGCCAATGGATTGGACGGTGACACGGGAAAGTGGTCTTCTGCACTCACACATATTCAGCAAGGTCGATACAGAGACATGCGGCAGGGATTCAATTTGTCATTGTCCGACTGAAACGAGCAGAAGATTAAGTTTCTGCTAGGCGGTGGAATATACAGCCACACGGACTTGCCTACTGCATCACGCACCTAGCTTCATAACTCCACTCAAGATTATTTGGCGGCGCATGGGGCCCCAATACTATGTCAATTGAGTGACACCGTAGCACTTTAACGTACTCACATATGGCGAACCCAGGCCATACATCGACAGATCTGTGGTTATGCAACAAATATTCACACTTTCCTACCCTCGTGCCTGAAGGAGAATCAGCTCATGTAACGCATATTCGGAAGTCACCTTCCGTAGAGTGGATGGCGACTATATCAGTGCATAGTCACGGTCCTTTCGAGTCACAGCCGATAGAAGCAGGCAATCGAAACTGAGGATATCAAACGTATGGTATTCCAGGTATAAGTCTACGGCAACTAGAAATTTAGGGTAGAAAATGTACGCCAATTTCAGATGAGAGTCTGCAGCAGTATATCCTCAGCGGAACCACCAGTGCGATCGAGTACGATGAGTACTTCATCCGTATATAAA